AGAAAGTATATAGGAGCCAGCAAATTGCTATCCCTGCTTTTTTTTTTTGTCATCATCCTCCGCAAAGTTTTTGGTGCCCGCCTACGATCCTTTGTTTCACCGTTCCCATTTCCATTCTACCAAAATCAGGCGCTACCCCCCACTGACCACAATGTATGGCCGGACATTATTCAAAGGACCAAACCTCGTCGCATCCTTGCCGCTTCGCTCGCTGGTAAAACAAGCGCGAAAACATAATGAGCATATAAATAGACAAACAATCACCAACCGAAGTTCCACCGCACACGACCTGCAAACCCACAACGGACAAGCACCCAACGCCACCCACATTCAAGGACCCATCACACCGTTATCCACCACACTGGCGAGGTGAGTTTGTCCTTTTACCTTCTATTTCGAACCAATAACGTTTAGTCGGCAGCTAGTCCTGCCGGCATTCACATCGAAGAGAGCATATTATTGAATTTTATTGAATATATTATTATTTTTAACTAAAATTAGAGTCTAATGGGTGATCAGAGTTGAAATTTTTAATTCATTAGGATTTTTCCCAATTTTTTATATATTTTTTTAGGCTTGGTAGTGCTGAAAGTAATATTTTTTAAAGATGGCAGCCCCTGCATGCTTTATTTTCGCACCTGGCAACACTTTCCTGGACTCATATCCTTTGAAATTCACTTCTTAAATTTTCCACTGAATATTCTTATTATTTTTATTTAAATAAAATAATCTTAAAAGAACTAAATATTCCAAGCAATATTTTGCACAAAACAAATCTGTTTTGTTTTGTTTTTACCCTTCAAATAAATTTGTATTTATTTGCAATTTCTCCCCTGAGGAAATTGGTTTACTGGCATAAAAATAAAAAATATGTATATATTATTGAATTCATTCAACCACATAAATTGTACATTTTGGGCCTTCTAATGCACACACACACACATTGTTTATAGTAAATTGTTTCACCTCTGTTCGAGTGGAATATTTTAAAATAAATACTACTTGTATCTATATATCCTGTATGTATACAAAAAAATGTGTCTGGCCAAATTGTTTTCATTCCATTTGGCATTGCCAAAGTTCTGTCTGTTAACTTCCTGTTTTGCTTTATTTTTTTTATATTTTTTTTCATTTGCACTTTGTTGCCATTTTAAAGTTCTCATACTCATTGTATCTTTTGTTTTTGTTGAGCCTGTTCGCCTGCGCTTTCTGCTTTGTTTTGTTATTTTTTGTAGCTGTAAATCGAATTTGGACACGCTTAGATAACTTTTAGATTTATTTATTTTAACATTTTTGGCGGCTAGCGCTGCAAATTTATTGGACACATTTGCTGCCCGGCTGGATCGATATTTTGGTTTAAAGATTCAAATCAATTTAAATATGTTGATAGAGGATTTAATAAACAAAATGAATAGGTAATGTCTTAGGTATACTTTTTCTGACAAAGCTTTATTTCTTATCAGCTAAACTTCTTCCTTTGTATATTGTTTGTAAATTCATTATTCATGCTTCAAAATAATTAATTTTTCAGTGGTTTCCTTTTTTCAAGCCTAGAAATGCTTCACTTTATCCTTAACTGCTTTTTTGTCAAGCTTGGCAATGCTGTCCAGTTTCAAGGATATATATTTTTTAGCCTGGCAATGCTTCTAGCAAGGGTTTTTTAATCTGGCTTTCTTTTGTCCTCTTTTCAGATTTTTTCTTGAATTTTTTTTGACTTAAAGCTAAACCTTGTACATACTTCCCCCAGCAATTGCTGAACCTTTCATTATGCCAACTGTTTCCTTAAGTGGCTCTCTCTCTGTGTGTTCTGGCTATCCTGTTTCGTTCCGTTGTGTACGCATAACATTGCATTACCACAATGACCACTCAGATTCGGTTAGACTTGCCAGCAGCTCCTCCTCCACCCCCTCCGTCCGGTGGGGTCATCTTACATTTTCATTAACTTAAAATAACAACCGAAAAGTTGTGCAACCGAAACCGGATCTCAGGGCTAGAACTAAAGTGGGACTTTTCGGAAAGCAAAAGCAAGAGTGGGCACTTCATACATAAACATTAGTCGGACGTACAATATTTTTTGATATGCCTTAGTGTCCAGCTACCGAAAATCCTTCGCAAAACCAGCCACCTTCGAGGGAGCCAAGCGTAACGTGCAATTTTTATTATTATAGCCAGGAAAGGTCTCTCGCCTAGAGACTGTTGTTAACTTTTCTCGATGGCAAGGACATTTCAAATATGCTGCAATAAAAAAAGAAGAACCACATGAATTCTAAGAATTCTAATTCTACATACCGCCAGTAAATATATCCTTACCCAGGATCAGACGCTTGAAACTAAGTGAAGGAGCCATTTCCGACCCCATGAATCATATATATTCTTGATCAGCATCAACAGGCGAATCTTTCTTTTCATCTCCGGCAGAAAAATAAATGTTTAAAATTTTATTTGGGTTAAAATAGACACAAATTTGACTAAAAAAATTATTTTTTTTTTCTTAGCGATTTAAAAGAGTATGCAGATTTATTTAATATATAGAATTTTGTTTTTCGTTTTATAACGATCGGAATACTATATAATATAACTGCCTAAGAAACAGGTGTTAAATGTCGAGGATCAGTAATTATTTATGAACATTAAGTATCAATAAAAATTAAGTAACTATAACAGGAAGTAAATAGCATATGACCATTAAGTAATTATGATCAGTAAGTATCAATGAACATTAAGTAACTATGATCAGTAAGTAACTATGATCAGTAAGTTTCAATGAACATTAAGTCACTTTGAACAGTAAGTATCAATGAACATTAAGTAACTCTGAACATTAAGTATCTATGATCAGTAATTAACCCTGATCAGTAAGTATCTATGACCAGTATGTATGTATATGTGATCAGTTACTAACTTTGAACACTAGTAAACAATGACTTGCAAATTTGTAACACAACACATTTCCGAGACGTGGCCGGCAGCAGTCACTTCGTTCCGGGGAGGTTATAACTAGTTGGGAATCATAGCACACATGTGCGAGATTTGTTTTTGAGCAAATTCAAGAGCAAGCTATTTGATTGAAACTATCGAGTTATTCTTCTATATAATTTCACTAGTATATAAGTCGGAGCGTTGCGGATCGGTGGTCTATATATGCACATACATATATATAGCTGCCATAGGAACGATATGAAAATCTTAAGAAAATAATTATAAGTTTTCCAGTTTTCAACACATTTTCATCAAATTTGATATAAAGACATTATATTCGGCGTGTCGAAGTTAGCTTCCTTTCTTGTTTAAGATTTATTAATATCTTTAATAATTTCTTGTCGTTAATATTTACCTCATTTGTTTTAATATTATTTCTAAGCTAACAGAAAACAGTCAACGGACAATGTACGGACAACGGACAGAACGGACAGCAGTGCAAGGACCACGCACTCGCTCATATGTGGCAAGTCGTTTAGAAATGTTTGGCTTCGGAAGTTAGGAAAAGTTTCTGCCTTGCGGCGGACAGACTATTCCAAAGTGTTTTTGGTCAAATTAAAAAACATTTTACAATTGTCTACATCTAAGACCGAGACCGAGTCCAAGTCCAAGTCCTTACTTAGGTGAGTGGGCGAAAGTTGTGTTGGCCCAAAATGTTTACACTTTGTCTTGTCCTGACTCCTCAGCCTGTTTTTCTCGCAGTTCATTGCGCTTCCTGGAGTCCTCCTTGAGTTGTGGCAACAACTATTTTTCCTGCCCGAAAGTTTACCAATTTTTTGTGTTCTCTATTTTTAGTCCCAAGGGTTTTAATGTCTCTAAGGTAACGTTACACTTTTTTGGTAATTAGTTAGCAACTAGTTAGCTGCAAATTTTCGTTTCTCTTACCTGCGGTTGCTTGCCAAGTTAATATGCGGCCCAAGCCATGTGACATTATCGTTAGAGGCACACTACTTATAAATGGGGATTTTCCTTTAGTTTTTCCCAAACACCCATCTTGTTTTTTTTGCGTATGCGTTTGCCATGGCAGGAACTTTCTTTTTTTGCAACAAAACAAGAAAGTTTTGAAGTGCAAGTTTGCTTTTTATATCGCTGCAACGAGACAACAAAGAAACTTTTTCCCCCAGTTTGGTACACAAATAATTGCATAAATTATTACAATTTGCAGTAATTCATACCTGGGTGAAACTATGAAATGACAGGACAGAACAGGACGGGAAAGGACACCCCCTTTGGCTACAGGCTTCTGCTCAAAAGTCGCACAAGAAAACGGCAAGTTCGTGGAGAAGTGCAAAAAGTGCTAAAGAATAAACAGTTTCAACAACAATGACAGCAATATTAATCGTTGTTATGGTTTCAACAACTCTCATGACCTTTTTTTTATGTTTATTGTATAAATTGTGGGTTTTCCATTAAATTTTCCATTGGTCTCTGTTTCAAAAGTACATTTAGCTTTATCTAAGTTTATCTAAAAAAAAAAAAAATAACTAATTACTAAAGGCATATGCTAGCCTATATTTATCTATTAATTAATTGGGTTTTATTGTCTAACTTTGTATATGTTGATTTTGTATGATCAAGGTTTTTATATTTAGCTTTTATGTAAAGTATAGAAAAAACTATAACCTATATACTTTCTAAAATTCTTAAGTTTATAATTATATTATTTTATTTTTGATTCCTTTTTAAAGATTTTTGTAATGTGATAAATTCAAGATATCAGATAAATAGTTTATATAGTTCATATAGATTTGATCTTTAGTTTATATATATTTTTTTTATCTAAAGTTTTGATCTATAGTTTATACAGTCCATATAGTTTTGATCTATAGTTTATATAGATTTGATCTATAGTTTATACAGTCCATATAGTTTTGATCTATAGTTTATATAGTTCATATAGTCTTGCTCTATGTTCTTTGTTAAGTCTCAAAGTTTATGTCAATTTAATACTATCTCTCTCCATCCTCACCAAGGGAACCTAAGGAGTTCCCTTATGCTTAAGGTCATGGCTTTCCCTTCTCTCAATAGAAGATTATATTTTCCTCGTAAATGGGCTCTTTCTCCTTTTCGCACAGCTGATGGTGGAGCTTATGGAACTTGTCATAGCCACCTTGCAGCACATATAGGTCCGTATACTCCCGTCGCTGATCCTTGGCCCGGAGGAAACTCAACAACTTGGGTGCCCGCTCCAAGGAGAACTTGCAATAGAACACATAAATGCAAGGACGACGACGTAGTCGCTGCTCAACCGTTTCCACTTTCAACGTCTCCTTCTCCATGGGAAAATTCGTTAGGATTTTGTGGCGTGAATAGAGATTCAGTGCACCCATTATGTGTCCATCCATGAATTGATATGGATATCGGCAATCGATGATCTTGTAAACGGTGGCATGGCCCAGTTGTTCCACGAACTCACCCTGAATCATGCGGGCCAGAGTGTCGACCGACATGGACTTGAAATCAGAATTGCGATATCGAATTCCAGTCACCACATTGGGCAGGATACTTCCAGGTACGGGCAGAGTTATATAGGTTAGTTCCAGGTAGATCGAAGGATTGACGGTGGGCTGGACCAGGTGTTGCTTCCTCGGACGCTGCTCTGTCTTCCGTGGTTCTTGTTCTTTGCTGCGAGGCATCTGCAAGAAAGTTTCGTATTCAATCATTAATCTATTGTTTTGTTGTTAAAAACTCACTTTGGTCACAGATTTCTGCTCTATTTAGTTTTTAACTAGAGTTTTAATATAGAAAACGATTTATTTTGCACTTCTTCGGCGGCATGTGCTCGTTTTTTTGTTTTGTTGTTGCTTATTTTCCAAACCAGGGATGGATAAAAGCAATTTATTCACCATTCACCATTGGCGAACTCACCACACAAGCTTTTGTTATTGTTTTAGGTTTATTTTTTCTCAGAAGAAAATAATACTAAAAGAATATTTGTTAAGGAATCTTTGATTAATTATAGATATTAGTTTCGGAGTCTAGATCGTGATAAGTTATTGATATAATTAAACATAAATACAGAGAAATATTTAAACAAAAGCTTCTGTGATTTTTAAAGTTTTGGTATTTAACAAATTTTTTAATACCAAAAAAATGGTTTTTAAATTTCGTTAGTTTTCATTTTGTATACAATTATTTGTATATTGTCGTTTAATCCAGTTCATCACTTTATTATATACTATCAGCAAGAGGTAGGAAACCAAATTTATTGTTTATTATTATTATATTTTTGCCAGATTGGCAGGACTGTTTCCTTGCATATAACGGCAAGTGAACAGCTGTCTCAAGATGCATATAGTTTAAGGTGGTTTCTTCATAGAGCTCTTTAAATATCGATATAAAGAACTTTAGATGTATTCCCCCAATATCGATATTCTTAGCAGTATTGCAATTTATATAAAAACATACCAGTTTTAAGGAAAATAGTTGGTAAAAGGTTTTTTAATTAGAAACACTCTCGCTCTCTTAAGCTAGTTCATTGCAGGACAAGTGTGCAAGACGTTTCCGAACTTAATAGGTATTTCTATACCAGTTTTAAAGGGAGTTTGCATCCTGCAGTTAAGTAAACTTTTTAGGTATCGCGTAGGAGGAGGATTTTAAGGAAGGAAACCAGCAAAGCAGCTACTCCTACTTCTACTAAGACTTTGGCTATGAAACTTTCTCCTGATTCTTTTTTTTTGTGGTTTGGTAACCAAAAATGTACATAACCACTGTATAATAATAAGCGAAATTAGCAACGCGATGAAAATCTTGAGACCCCGTTACCAACAACTAATCTCTGGCTTGTGGGCACGGTTCGGCCCATTAAGCCTGGCATCCTCCTGAGAGACTCAACTCTCTCTCTCTCTTAGAGTCACAGCTTTATTGGCGCGATTTCCGCTTCCTGCGTTCCAGCACAGAAATAATAACCATAATGGCGGGTATAAAGCGCAGCCAAATGGCGGAGATAGTAGTAATTGTTAGGCAGGCGACGCTTGCCAGCAATCTCGTTGCGAATAAGCATTTGCACTTGAAGTTTTGTCGCTAATTGCGTCTCAGCTCATTGAAAATTCGGAGCATTTTGCACATTTTCCACATTTTCCACATTTCGCATTTGTTTTGGCATCATTTTCATATCTAAATGGGTTTTCTGGGTTCTGGGGACAACTTATGACAGCTCTAAAGTGCAATTTTCATAGTCATGTTGTAATGTTTAAATTAAATTTAATATAAATGTGTCATGATTACATGTTACTTTATAACTGAAGATTTTAAAACAATATATAAGAGGCATAAAAGTGGGAAATATAAAGTTTCTTGAGAAAAATATATGGACTCCAGGCAAATAATAAAAACTTCATTTATTCATATGAAAATAATGCAACAACTATTTTATATCCCGCTTTTAGACAGCTTTAAATAAGTTTTTAACGATTTTTTGAAAGATTTAATAACAAAAATTATTATAAAAACTATTTAAAAACAAGAATTAAATAAACTTAAATGACTTTCCTTTCTCTAGAAAGTTTTCTTTAATATATATTTGATAAAAAATATATACTGTTTTCTCTCTTTTCCTGATTTTCAACAATAAAATAACCTTAAATTACTCTGTTTCTCCAGAAATTTATAATTAAAACGACAGCTAAGCAATTAAATTTTAAAAATTACAAATTAAAAAATTCTCTAAAAATATCTGGGATTTGTGAAATTTGTGTGTAAATTCTAGGAATTTGGTTCGTTTGAAAATCCTCATTCAAACTTTTCACAACGTTGAAACTGGTGGGGTTTTCATTCTGCATATTGCCCATAATTTGTATTTTTCGGTTTAAAAATGATGCAAAAGTTTTGTCATTAAGCCTTTTTAATAATGAATTATATGTATAAGGGGAGGAGAGGAGAATGGAAGGGGAGGTGGACCGACTTTGACCTGGGGCCTGGTTTTCCGGGGAAACTTTTACGGCTCGTGCATCCTGTGCGCTCGTTCCATCATCATGTGCTGCTTTTGCTGCTCTCCATGGAAATCAGATTTATTACGTAATTATGCACAAAGTAACGACCATGTGTGGTTCCTACGGGTCCTGCATATCTCCAGCAACTCGTGTTCCTCCCTTACTTCCTTACAAAAGAAATTCTATAAACAACAGAGATTTTGTAGAAGCAACCACCTTCTATATCACGTATACGCCTTGTGGTGCGACAGGAAAATTGCCTAAAAATCATTCTTTAATGCATTCTTTTGACCATTGCCTAAGCTAAGGCAGTCAAATTGTGTCAGGAAAATTGACAGGCATATTGGCCACATTGACATAGATAGTAGAGTGGGGTTAGAGAGTCCATCATTGGGTTTTTATCCCAATGCATTTCCTCGACGAAACTGAAATTGGCTACAAAATGCACTCGCATTGCCATCTCATTTTTCCCGCACAAAGTGTGCCACATGCAGGTGCACAGGGAGAAAATGTGTATATAGAAGAAGAAATCATATCCAAACCTATATATCATTTTATCAAGGGAAATGTATTGAAATGTATTGGATTTTAAGAGCTCCGGGCTCAGTCAAAAGCTTAAAACTAAGTGAAGGAATCATTTCCGACCCTATAAATCATATATATTCTTGATCAGCATCAACAGGCGAATCTTTCTAGACATCTTCGGGAGAAAAAAAAATTTTGGTAAAAATTTTCAATTTTTTAAAAATCAGGAAAGGTTAAAATTTGGTAAAAATTTTAATTTATATAAATTTTAAAATGAGTATGCAGATTTATTAAAATAAAAAAAAACAAACACAGAGCTGCTTTCCGAATTGAAATTAATGCATTTTTCGCTTAGTTATGCGTTTTTTAAAACTATGATTTAAAAAAAAAATTTCCATATAATAATAAAGTTAATATCGGTTAAAAAATTGTATTGCAACTTTAGTCAGAAGCTTAAAACTAAGTGAAGGAATCATTTCCGACCCTATAAATCATATATATATTCTTGATCAGCATCAACAGGCGAATCTTTCTAGACATCTTCGGGAGAAAAAAATTTTTTTGCCAAAAATTTTTATTTTTTTTCTTTGTTTGGTATTGGTAAAAAAATTGGTAAAAATGTCAATTTGTTTAAATTTAAAATTGAATATGCAGAGTTATTACCCTAATAAAAACTAGCACAGAGACGTTTTCCGAATCGAAATTTATGTTTTTTTGGCTGAGTTATGATATTTTATAAATAAATAATTTAATGCAACAAAATTTTGTTGCAGTGCATTGGCTGCCATATTTGCAGAGGCGTTTTCCAGAAGAAGAGGAGGGCAACCTTTAATGTATCTCTGCCTGTTAAATTTATATACAGAGTAGAGAGAGTAGTGACTACACAGGGAAAGGGGTTTGAAGGAAGAGCAAAATGTGAAAATGAAAATTTGCTGCCATTAGCCAGTGAAATTTACACCATTTTCCCCTCGTCCTTCACATTTTCCCCTTTCACATTTCCCTCTCACTGCTTTTTGCGGCATTAATTATGCCAAAAATAGTGGGCCATCTCTCGTTTTGATTTTCACCAATTATGGACAGGAGAGCTTGCAAATTTAATGAACTGTGTGTTAGTGTGTGTGTGTAGGTGTGTGGGTAGGTGTGTGTTGCCCCAGAGCTGTGTGATAATAAAACCGGGTGTGAGAGTCAAAGAACAATAAAAGCTAAACAACAAAAAGCAAAGGCCACACAAAGGAATGCAAATGTGAAATCATCAACAGCGTCATCGTAATATAAACCAAAGAGCTGGTAGAAAAGTGTAGGAATATATATACACCTGAAGTTAAAAAACTGACACTAAATAATAATAAACTTAATTATGTATTTATTGATATATTTATTTCTATATTTTTTAATAAAAGCCGAACTGAAGACTTTTGTTGAAGGGAAACGTTTGGGATTGGTAATTATTACTCAATTTTTTTTATTTTTATTGTTATTTTTAATTAATAAATAAATAAAATAAAATAATTTATTTAAATATGTTAAATTAATTCTAAAAAAAAGGAATAAATCCTAAAACACCACGATAAACCTCTGCCATTTTGTGTTCTATTCAAATTCCCCTGAAAAGTGTGCTATAAAATTTTAAAACAAAACAGCTCGGACCTAAAAAATTTCATAGCCTAGTTTTCAGAGCACTGATTAAATAATAATACCTTTATGTATTCTTCTCCATTTTGGTATAAAAAATGGCTTGTAATATTGCAAACTATATCTATTATTATTAACAATTTGTATACAGTGAGATGAATAACAATTTTAAATTCTAACTAGTATATACTACCAAAGAAAAAGCTTTGTTTAGGGAACCTTGTTAATTGATTTTAAAGTTCTGGAAAAACAATTAGTATTTATTTATAATCAATTTATTTGCTATTATTATGACCCCAACTGTAGCTACGTAGGTGTTAGCTAAACTGCAGTAAAAATGAGGGGTTTGTCCTGGCACATTCCAGCATCATCAACATTATTGTTGTCAACGTCATGCGGCGTGACTATGACATTAGTTTTGTCCCACAAATAAACAACAACAAAAAAAGTGCTGAAAGGGAACTGCCGCCAGGGGAAAGGCAGTTCCAGGACTCAGACACTTGTCAGCAAAACAAAGGACAGGCCAACTTCCTATCTTTTTCTCTTTA